GTGAGTTCGGAACGTATCCGCCACCTCTTCAGGTGAGGTAATTGGGGAGCCGTCAGGAAGTTTCAGGGCTAGAGTAGAAGAACTGGGTTGCCTGTTATGGCGAAGAAGTTTGAAGAGGCAGGAGCAGTTTCATCTTGCCCTGACTAAGATACCTTTCTGTTGCCGTTTGAAGAACTCCCTGATCTTGCTCTTGCATAGGTTCCGGATATATTTGAATTTATCCACGTCACTATCCAAGTTAGTGAGCTTGTACCTTGCGAAGAGGACGTATTGAACGTGGAAGAGGAGGGTGGCTTTTGGTTGGGGCGAATATCTTGGGAACGNACGAACAAGCAGTCGCCTGTTCGGAGTACGTTCTCAATTTGATCATTGAGTTCCTTTGTTTCTGAAGATAAGTAAACAGAAACCACATTTGCTACCAAGTAATCACCTAGGGCACCGAAGTTGACTCGTTTGAAGGACCGCAAGGTTCTTGGTGCCGACTTATAGGAGGGCCAATGAATGATGAAGTCAAAGCTCAGTAGAGAGTGGTCACTCTTGCCAAGTGGGCAGAGAGTGTAGACCTCGTCGATTTGGTGCCGATCGTTCGTTATCACCAAGTCGAGTAGGGAAGGGGACTAGCCCGGGAGAAATCTGGTGGGAGAGCATACATGTTGATGCCATGAACCCTCAGTTACTAAGGTCTAGAAGGGGTTGACCAAAGAAGGGGTCATTGGAGTTAGTCCGGACCCAGTCTATGGATGGAGCGTTAAAATCACCGGTTAGGAGGACGTGTGTAGAAGGGCAATAGGATCGAAGATAGCGAAGTTGGTTTAGAAGGGTCTGTGCCTGTGTCTGTTCGCTGGTTGGGGAGAGATATATGACACCTAGTAAAACGGAATCTCTGTTGGGCAGAAAAAGTTTTGCCCACAGAGTGTCTATCATGGGGCTGGGATCTTTGGGGGAATAAGACAGCTGGAGGAAGGGACTGGCTCAGTTAGATAGCTACACCACCGGCACGGCCTCGGTTTGAGTCGCTCCTCAAAAGTGTATAGCCATCTATTTTGACTTCACCGTCCAAGATATCTGGAGTTCGCCATGTCTCCGTTAGCGCTAAAATATGTGGTCGGACATCTTTAATCTTTTGTCTGAGTTCAAGTACCTTGTTGCCAAGGCTCAGACAGTTGGTGTACATGCACTTTGGCGCTTGTTCTCCAGAAATTTCAAGAGGCTTAGGATAAGAGTAGTGTCCTCAACCTGGGTACCCATTGGAGTTAAGTTTTTAAACGGCTCCTTTCCCTTGCTCATGATTTGGGGTTTGGGCTCCTGCGTTCGTTGCGGCGTCCTGCGGTCCGAGCACGGAGGAGTTCTTTGGGGTTTTGCCTGCTGTATCTTTTTCTCGCGAGGAGGATGGGACGCTAACTGGTCTGGGGGTCGGGGCATCTTGACTGCTTTAGAAAAACAGGAAACGACGGTTTTTCGGTGGTTCGCGAGTTTCCGGGGATATTAGTGGGGTGATTTTCGGAACCAGCGGCTTGGGTTTTTGTGGAACAATTGTAGGTTCTTTAGGGAGAGTGGGGAAAAAGGGACGTTGTTCAGAGAGATTTGCTCGCGTAGATGCAGCTACTTGATGCATAGGAAGGGGTGGGCTCCATAGAATTCCCCATTTAGCAGGTTGCAATTTCC